ATCTACAAATGAGATGTCTGTGAGCAACATTAGGGAAGTTGCCAAGGGACACAGCTTCTGGTGCTGTTTGGTACAAAGCAAGTCATAATAACTCGGCTGGGGGTAGGATATTAAAAAGGTCGCTTGATTTTTCTCTCCAATATGCTTCCTTTGAAAAAAAAAGTCACCTTGCTGCTACATTTGGAGAAAGATTTGTTAGTATATTTGTCTTCCCCTCATCACTAGGGCTGAGCTTACAGGCACAGAGCACGTTGACAGGGCTGGAAGCTCTGGAGTTTGGCTTCCTTTACTATCTTTGCTGTCATATACGTCCCTTAACTGCTCAGTTGCTGATGTTTTCTTTGGTGCTCCATGGGAAAGCTCTGTTACTGAAAGCAAGAATTAATCACCTGTAGCATGCCCACTGAAGAGGACCTAAGCTATAATGGTGAAAAGCAAAACATGCAGAGCATGTACAACTTGATGGGGGATGGGGTGGGGATAAGACATCAAATTAAGAAAGGGGGGTCTTTGAATGGTTTGTAAAATGTTCTTCCTAGAATCTGGAAAGATTCTTTTGAACTCTTTTAAGTAGAGCCTGACTTGTCAAATTCAACAGGAGTCAATTCCTCCTGTGTGAAGCTCAGACACTGGAAAGACTTCTCTAGAATGAGCAAAGCATGCAGGTGCAATGGTATCTTCAACAGTCAGCTATCTTCAGGCCTTGTCCTGGCCTCCTTTCTAGACATCCATGGTGTGGCCATTTGGGTAGCTGCACAGTCTTTTTGTCTTTTGAATCCCATCTACCATGCTGATCATGAAAACACCTAGTAAGACTTCAGAATCTACTCAGAACAGTGTGACTACCTGAAATTTTGTCCTCAGAGGGTGAACAAGGTTTCTAGCTTTGATGCAGCATTGTATTTTATAAATCACATCACTCTAGCAGTGAGGGGTTGCTGGGAGGTCCCTCTGCAACTTTGATTCCAGGAAATACCACAGTGGACAGTCATCCTTGTGTGGCTGCCTCAGGCAGAGGGTCTACATACTTCTACCTATGCACCCTCAGGTAAGGCCACAGAGAATATGCAGTATTCAGTATTTGTTTTTATTCTCTCCATGTACACCTTGAAATACAAAATCACCATGGTCTCAGAATAGTTCTAGGCTTAAAGAAACAAAATGATCCTCTGACTGGCCTGCTCCAGTTCCTAGAAGAAGGCAGGAGGGTGAACAAACAGAAATAAACAGGGGCCAACTAATTTGTACCCCTTCTAAGGACACTTCCCAGAAGTTCCATTTAGTAACTTCCATTGGTATTTCATTGGCCTACATGCAAGAGAGATCTAGGAAATAATAGGACTCTTAGTCACCCTGAACAAGCCAGGGCTGCCTGACCACTATGGCAAAGAGAAGCAGCATCGGGCAGACAGAAAAAGCCACCAGCGTTAAAGAGCAGAAATCTTTTTCTCTCTTTAGAGCTAACCTACTATACAAAAATTAATGTCTGCTGCACAGGCTACAACTGAGAAATAGTTCATTTCTTATAAAGCTATGCAGCTTCTCCTCTGCGGGCCTTGCATTCCTATGCAGTTTGTATTTACTGTGGCCAAACCTAATTCATTCATTTATGAAGCCATCTCAGCACCAGCAGCCATCATAAAGAATTCATCTCCTGATGGTTTACACTGGAGAAGGTCACAGTATTGAGTGTGTGTATGCCCCAAGGCCCCCTCTCTCTGTCTGGGCCCCCTGTGGCTTAGGTCTGCTATTTTCCTTTTAAACAGTGAAATAAGGTGTACACAGCTTAAAAATACATATTGGTGTTTTCTCACAAGCTCTGGAGACCTCACCATGAGGGGCTGGGACCATTTCTGATGCCCCTCTTCCATGTCTTTAAAGTATTCCTTACTTTTTTTTTTTGCCTCACAGTGGCATTTGGTCATGAGAACAGATTTTCTTCTTTGTTACTGTTTTACACACTGAGGGATTTTCTGGGCTCTTCACTTCAAAATTCCAAAGAGAAGATATTTCACTCTTCTGCCATTCCAAATATGAAGGAGGACAGAAGAAACATTGTGGCTCTTTGCAAAGGGCTAAGCATAGAGTCACCTCTCCTCCAAATCTCTTTGTTTAGAGCTCTTTGAAAAGATCTCACTTCTGGGTGCAGAGGGGAAGGTACACTGCACTTGTGCAGTTCCCTGGCAGAAGAGTGAAATGTCTTCTCTTTGGAATTTTGAAGTGAAGAGCTAGGAGTGCTCATGAGGCAAAAGTGCAAAGGAGCTAAAGGACTCTGTGTTCTGTCCATGGTGCTTTAAAACAGGATCCCACATAGTCAGAACCTTGATGAACACAATCGAACCTGTCTTAATATGATGACAACGTCATTGAATAAATTTAAAGCCAGCATCCAACCCTGGACAGATCTGACCTTTGTCTAGTCTCTCATTTCCTGCAGTGAAATCTTATTTCTCCCACTTTCCATTCATGCTCCCAGCCCAGTACAGTGTCCCCAGACCCTGCCTTATGTCCAGTCTGTCCTTCTGGCTTCTTGCTGCCAAGTCAGGTCATGTTTCCTACATTCCTTGTGTCACCAACCCGCTGGTCAGAACCCTGGGATGTAATTCCTCCTTCTGGCTACTTCCACCTACACATCTTGAAGGAAAAGGCCAAGAAAGCTGTCCTCTTCTCTGCAGAGGCTGTGAGTTCCTCCCTCAGCACAGTTAATGTGATGCAGTGTTGTGAAAATAACCTTTCCTTGAAAGGTCACTGAGAAAAATATAAGGACAGCATCAGATATTCTGCCCAGAAAAGGTCTCCAGCCTCCTCCTTGGCTCTACGTGTTAGCAAAGTTGTTAGGATAGGGGCCTGGGACCCTTGCTCAATAAGACGGCGAGGCAGAAAGGAATGGTAAAAAGCAGAACATGAAGATATGTTCAATGTGCACACTTGGAAGAGGAATAAAGGTCCAAGGAGCTCCCAAGTCTACCTTCAGGGTCCTGGCATGAGGTCGGTTTAAGTGGACAGCAAGAGATATGCATACTCAGCAATGCCTGTCTGGGTGTGGGCCCAGTCTCCCATCTCTCCTGCAAAATAGTTGGAAAAGTCAGAATGTGAGTCTCCTTCCAGGAGTCAAGCTGGTCCTCTGGCTTCAGTCTTTTCCTTTTCCCAGAATAAGATTTCTGGAAAATTGTAATTCCTTAGGGTCCATTGTTTTAAAAAGCCTGATAGCTGAATGGAGAGGCACATTTTTTTTTTTAAGAATATCTTTATTCCTGTCAGGGAGATTGCACCCTGCTTTCTTCCTGATTGGGGTCTACAGTCAGCCCTCATTCATCCGACCTAGCATGGTCTCCCCCCAGCCACAGCGAGCCAACCAGAGCCCATCTCTGGAGACCACCCATCAGCCCACTCTCCTCAGTCAGATGAATCACAGCAACCTCTTTGGCCCTGGAGGAAGTGCACGTCTGCTTGCTGTAGTTTTACAGACAACTGAATGTCCCCATTTGAGATGAGACCCAAGGCTGTGCCTTTTATGACCAAAAAGAAAAAAAGTAGTAATAAAGTGTGTTCCTAAACAAAATAGATTTTCCCCTGAGGTAAATGCTGTGACTCCCCTAAAATGGAAAAAGGGAAGAGAGCATCTATATTTAGCTCCTTATTCATTTAATGCTCAGTTCCCTCCACGGCATCTGCCTGGGAGCGGAGACTTCACATGCCGAGTCCCAGATTCCAGGTCAAGGATGACATGAGGGTGATTTGGGAGGAATATTTATGTTTCTCTGGATCTTAGTTTGTATGCTTATGGGGGGTAACTGATTCCTACGGTGTTGGCATTGAAATTCTAAATTGTATTCAAGAGTAACCATCTCAAAGGCTCCTGGTTTAGGAAGGAGGCTACATTTGCTTGTGACTTATTCAGGAGAAAGGCAGGGTTAGAAGGCTGGCCCTCCACTGAACACGGTGCCATTTCAGCCACCACAGGGGTCCAGCTGGGCCCAACACAGCCAGCATTGACCCCCTACAGAGCCAGCTGCGCTTTCTGGGGCTGATGAGGAAGAGCTGAGTGCCTCTGGGCAGCACAAGCAGGAATTTTATTATTATTGGCTTCGCAATTTGTTAGCATTTTGCCGTCATCTGCCTTAGTGGCCAAGGATCTGTACATTAAGACTTCGATTTTATCCCCTGGGGCGTCCATGTTTTATGAAGATCGCTAGTGTTTGCCATCTTTATTGCAGTTTTTGTACAGCCCCTGGCTGCTGTGTTGAGCATAATCAAATGTCATTTATGAAGTCCTCCTGCCAACAGAGGATTGAGGGAGAGCCCTGTGGCCTAAGCCTGCACAACCGTAAGAGACAAAAAGCTGCAGAAGCATGCTCAGGTGCTAATGAACTACAGGCTGATGCTTGGTGGTTTCCAGCCAGCATTCCCCTGCTGTGAGCTACAGATTGCTGACATTTCTGGGTGGGAGTCAGGTGCTGCCCAGCAACCAAGCCTCATTCCTCTTCCTACATCTGTGCAGGAAATAGAGTCCTTGGGAGGACTGTGGGCAGGGAAAGTGTTGGTGAAATGGTGGTTCTAACCCAGCACCTGTCTAGCTCTGTGACTTCTGACCCTGACAAAGTTATTTCTAGGCCTCTGCTTACTCTTCAATAGTGTGGGGGTTTGAGTGAGTGATTCCTTAGGATCTTTCTATTCTTATTTGCCCTTTGCTCTCTTCTGTGTGGCCTTCGCCCTAGCTTCATTCTGTCTTCCTGCCCTGCTTCCTCCTCAATCTCATGCTTTGCCTATGTAATCATGAACTCTCTCATTTCAGTATTTGATCCTGGAATGACTGTTTGCTAGCTACTCAATAATATTTCTTCCTAGTTGTTTCTCCGCTGGCTTCTGACACTATTGTGCCCCTAAATGTTCCCCCAAAAGTGTTCTGGGCTCCCTTTAGTTTCCTCCTACTTGATATTGCTTCAGAAGCCAACAGAGGTGACCAGGTATTTATTGACACAATGCCTTTAATAATGCTACGTGTCTCTGGCTACTCTCCTATGCAACCTTCAAATGATAAAGTACCTACTACCGACGTCCACACAGCGTTCGCTTCATCATTCTCTACTGCTGCACACAGATGTCCACTCAGCACCTCTAAAAGACAAAAAAGTCCCAAATAAGACTCACACTCGAAGAGTTTTGAAGTAAACTTATCATTCCACCTAAAACTGGATCCTATACAGAGTTCCCCTCATCAGTGACTGACATCTCCATTCATCTGCCCATGAGGGACCCTGGAAAAATCTCTAGCACTCCCCTTTCTCTCACCCCATTTCTTTCCAAGCCCTTTTGTTTATGTACCCAAAATGCATCCCAGAAAAACTGCCCATTCCCTGTTTGTCCCCATAATTAAGCTCAGTCCAATACACACTTCTGAACTCTGATGCAGCTATGTTAGTTTTGGTTGTTGACCTGACATGATGTAGACTCATCTAGGAAGGAGTATGAGTGAAGAACTACCTAGGTTAGGTTGGACAGGCATGCCTGTGAGGTATTTTCTTAATTAGGAAAGTTAGGTAAGAAGCCTAAAAGTGAGTGGTATTGCTTCATGGAAGGGCAAGCTGAACACTAGCATGAATGCATTCCTTCATTGCTCTCTGTTCTTGATTGTGGATGTAATGTGCAGCTCCTTCACATTCTTGCCATCTTAACTTCCCACCAATGATGGGTTGTAACCTGTAATTGTGAGCCAAATAAATCCTTTTCTCTTAAGTTGCTTCTGTTGGGGTTATCTTATTAGTACAGTAATGGAAAATGAAACCAAGACAAACCATAATGAGGTTTACCTGGCCCTACACATCCCATTTATGGTAGTTACCTTTGCACAGATATGGTTCCTCATTGTCCTACTTTGCATCATTCATTAATTTTCCATACATTTAAGGATTAAAACCCCAAATCTTGTACAGGGCCATCTAGGCATGACATGATCTACTGGGTTAATTTGGGAACAATGGCCTCTGCTCTTTGAATTCTTCAGATTTGCTATTTACTGAAGTCAAAGGCCACCTCCCTCTGCCTACAACACTTGTCTCATACATCTGTACTTGGCACCTCCTCTTCCCAATGATATTTTGTCACAAACACATCAACATCAATTGTTTCCACGGTACCCTGGAACATTCTTTTGTGTGGCTCTCATTGTTAATAATGTTGTGCATGCTCAACTAATTAATTAATTAATTAATGTTAGCATCCTTATGTGAATCACCAGCCCCACTAAGGCAATGGATTTTTTAACCACTCTGCCATTTTCTAACCACTCTGCCTCTGATAGTACAAGGATATGCTCAGGGAAGGAGGCAGATTTTCAGATGCTAGAATGGAAATAGAAACTTCATGCTACTACCCGCCCACTAAGTTAAAAATATACCCATGGCAGAACCACCTATTACTAACTACAGGGTTAAAGGAGGGCCAGCAGCCTGGCAGCTTCCAGCTGGCCCAAAGCTCAGCAGTAAGCAGACAACAGTAAATGTGGAAACTATTTCCTGTCTTCAACACACATCCTGGGTTTAGGGCACAGAGAGCAGCTCTCAGCTGACTACAAAGTTAAGCCCAAACAGTATAGTGCTGGTGATTATTTCATCTCTGGTTGGGCCAAAAAACAGAGTCTGGGGTTCAGGGGGTGGTCCTAGGGTTTTTATTCAGAGCTCAAAGTCACCTTCAATCTTCCTTAACCCTCAAAAATAAACCCAAACCCACAGTCACAGTGAGCAAAGACTGAAGTCACTAATTCTTGACTCATGCCCGTGGCCTCTCTCTGTGCTCTCATCTCACCAAAATCTCCTTTAATCTTTTGTCTGGTCTCCCATCTGGGAAGGTGCCATCCTGGAGGTGTCCTTAATCTTAGGCTGCTTCGCCCAAGGAATACAAACTTCAGGCATCTCACCAAGATACAAACTTTGAGAAGAAATGATAAGAACCAAAGTCCTGACTTTTGGGGACTTTCTTCCTTCCCTTACTAAAGACAAGTAAAATTCAGGTAACAGAGGAAGAGAGATCTGTGATAAGGCCTCCACCTTGGCTATTATCTGACTTTGAGAGACTAATAGGGAAAGACTCAGAGGGCTGATACATGGCCCTGGGTTTGGATGGGGCTGCAGAACTAACTCCACAGTGGACCTACACCTTACCATCATGCTGTACAGAAAAAGGTGAACTGGCTAGCTGCTTTGTGGTAGAAGAGAGAAGCATCTCTGCTTAGTTGACAAGCTCAAAGTTTGACAGCGTCAAGGGTTCTAGAAAGAATAGGTCAAGGTTGGAGTTTGTTCAGATGCTTTTTGAGATAGTTCCCCTGAAAAGATGCTGTTAGATCCTTAACAGAGAGAACAGGAGGGCGGGGGAGTAGATTTCTAGGGATGAGGATAGAGGCATGCATATACAAACAAAGGAATTTCAGGTGGTTGAGAGCTATCAATGATGGCAATTTTCAAAAGAGTCTATAAGAGTGCAGGAAAGAAAGGCTTAGATGTGAAAGAATGTCACTGAGGCCAGCAGTGCCTGCAAGAAAAAATAAAAATATCAGTATCTCTCAGGCCAACAGTGGCTGTAAGGCAGAGATGTCCTTCCTAGTCCCCTGGGCCCCTACCTCTAACCATAATATATATCCCACTTTAACCTATAAGGGTCAGATAAAATACAAAGCAGCCACAGCTTCATATTACCCCAAGGAAGGCAGATTCACTGGCACATGTTCCCAGTAGAGGAATTGAAAGTCAACTCTAGCCTGCTGATGGTGTTGGAAGTGGGGAATGCATTCTACACTGGAGTCCTTATTTGCAGTTGCCAAATTGAGTCTGTAGCATGGAAATCAAAAGACTACTCCCACTGAGCAGATGTGGGACAATAGCAGAGATAAACATAAAGTACTTTCTGGGGCTGAGATAATCCAGTCTTTAAAGCACTTGCTATACAAAAGAAGGACCTGAGTTTGATCCCCAGAACCCACATAAAAAATAGGCATCACAATGTGTGCTTATAGCCCCAGCACTAGGGATATATGGACAGGAAGATGTTTGAGGTTGGCTGGTCAGACAGCCTAGCTTACTTGGTAAGCTCTAAGACAACAAGAGATGCTGTCTCAAATTATGATGGACAGCATCTGAGGAACAACACCCAAAATTGTCCTCACACACACACACACACACACACACACACACACACACACACACACACACCTATGCTCCCACCCAATCCCACAGACATTTTCACACCCACAACTTTCTGATCAAACCCTATGAGTCTTATTTATAGCAACAGCTTCATAATGGAGCTGTGAGTAAATAGCCCTTTTGAAGAAATGTGAAAGAAATATTTAATGCTTAGAAGAGGCTCACAATGTTTGAAACACACTAGCTAAATGCTACAGCAAATAACCCTCCAGACTACACAAGATAAATATGCAAAAATGCACTTCTTGCCAGGGTGGGTGAGCAGTACTAATCATCAAGGGCCCAGGTTAGGCAGGATCTGCAGTGTTTAGGGCACTGTGCTGGTCTTTATAGGTGCTGTTGGTGCCTAGAAATGGTGCACATGAGATAGCCCCATAGGAAGTTCTCAGAGGCTCAGCCTGCAGAGGGCATACATTGTTTCTGTCACTTTCTCCCAGTGCTAAAGTCACCTGCACAAAAGGGGGAGGCTTTTGATTTGGTGGGAGGCTGGCAGTTTCTGTTGCACAGTGTGTTATGAAACTGTAATTATAGGCTACACTTATTCACAGTCTCGTCAGCCTGTGGGCATGAATGAGGTCACATTAATATTTATGTATAAATTTGCAAAGATGCATGAATTGACTGATTGGCTACAGGTTCTTGACACCTTCTATAAAGACCTAGGCAGGTTGTTTGAGGGAGCTTCAGCAAGATCTGCAATTAACTAAAAAATAATTCCATTAAAACTATTGTATTCTCATTTCCCTCACAGTAGCACTAAAATTAACCATTAAGAGCAAACACTAGAGCTTTCTACATGCTAGCCACTGCTCTATGCACTTTGTATTTTAATCCTCAAGCTGTTGTACCTCCCCCTCCCTGGATTTTTTTTTTTTTTCAGATAAGGCAGGCACAGAGAGAGGTAACTTGCCCAGTCTTGCAGTACAGGTAAGTGGCAGGGCAGGATGCAAACCTACTCTGTCTGGCTACAGAGTGCTGCCCCTTTGTTGTTCATCCATCTTTCAAGTTCTCAGCCTCTCCTTTAAGAGCAATGACATCTGTGGAAGGTTTCATCTTAGTCTGTGGCGTTTGTCTCAACACAATGCCATCAGCTGGTGCCTTTAGCTATAGGAATTTTCTCAGTTTGGGAGACTGGGAAGTCCAAAATCAAGGTTGTGGGCTGACTTAGCTTCTGGTGAGGTCTTTTCCTGGCTTAAAGACAACCACCTTTCACCATGTCCTTACAAGTTGGAAAGAGCAACATCCCCAGGGTCTATTCATGTTTTACAAGGACAGCGGTTCAGTGAGATTGAATAGGGATGCACCTTATGGCTCACCTAAACACAATCACCCCTTACAGGTGCTCTCTCTGATACTCGGGGACATGAATCTACAGGCCTAGCTCTGTCCCTTGAAGAAGTTCTTTTCTGATGCCTTCCCAGCTATCAATACTAGGAAACCTGAGCTTCAGAATAGAAAGAGGGCTCCTCTTCTGCTGTCTGTCTTCCTTGGCTACTTGAGTCCTAAGAAAGGTATTCATGGCCAGAATTTCCCAAGGACCAGCAAGAACCCAAGCCCTGTAGCTTTCTCCAAACCAGGACCAACCCTTCCTCATCTCAGTGCTGCCTAGAAAAGCAAGGGCACCCCACCTTTACTCTCCTCTTTCCAAGCCTTCCTTCAGAGGACTGTGCACAGAATCCTTTCTTTCCTGTATCTCTTGTTGGTTGTTTCCAGAGGGATCTTATGCACCAACAACAGTCTTCCACACTTCTAGCTCTGGTATAGCTTGGCTGCTTCCCTTCGGGACCAGAGGCTCTAGAAAAGCCACCTTCCCATGCAGCCAAGTTGACCTCTAGAAGTAGGCAGAGCTGAATAAGAAGCAGCTTGTCAGTCATCCCATGCTACAAGTCAGATGAACACTGGCTTTATCCCTCTGAGAGG